TGCAAATATGTAATAATAACGGCCTATTCACAGAAAATATCTCACCATAGACATTTTTTGTCCACTTTAGCAAAAATTTGTGAGCCTGAAAAATTTGTGAAAGTCAGGGTGTTCCAAATCAGCCTTGATCACTCAAGAGTTAAATAACTAAAAACGTAGCTGCCATTGCAGGGAGAAAGAAGCAAAATATGTGATTAAAACAAAGTTAATAACACTTTTCAACTATGTGGCAACTGTTGGGCGGTAACTATCATAAAATCTGGCACATTTATACATTTTTCCGAAGTACTTTTCTTCCCTCCACAACTTATAGACAATGCACTTTCCTTTTTGTTGAGTAAACATTTCATACACGAAATGTCTTCTTTGTAATGGTAATAGTTTATTCCTTACATCATCGTGAACATTGGTGAACAACGAACAATTAAATTGTTCCCTCCGTGTTGAATATGTTCGATATATTTGCCTCGTAAATTAGACCCAAGTTTCTTTCCAAGCTACCGGGTGGTATGTGCAAAAGTTTTATTACTCAATCCAAACTAAAATATCCATGTACGGATTCAGTGCCAATCCGTGTATAGACCCACGTACGGATCCGTGTCGATTCACGTAATTATCCATTTGCAATAACCTCGGTTATTGCAAACAGCTGTTATGTATGCCGTGTAGCTAACTGCAACCATGGTTAGGCATGGTATTCGTGAGAACAGCGATATGGCCTTTAGTTGAAAACAGAGGAATGCCAATCAAAGTAGTGAGTTAAACAAAATTTTTTCCTATGCCAGAAAAAGAAGTCGACCTTTCACATCCCACCCACATTCTTTTTTTTTTTGTTGTTAAGGCTTCTCTTCTTGCCCTTTGGTCACGCCTATTCTCCATGATGTGCGAAATTCTATTGACACAGACTCTAGATCGGCTGTCCACCCGTAGGCCGGTTGAAGTTATAGCAGCTGTCTCCTGGATAAGTCAGGATTCCACAGAAAGCCGCTTAATTGATTTTCATCGATTTTGAGACTTATTGGCCTTTAAGTTGACGAAGCGGGACTTGTGCATGTAGTTAGTTATGTGGCCACAATCTCTCAGGAAAGTTCTTTGCCCCTCCTCACGAACAGAGCGGCCAAATTAACACGTTGTATAGAGTAGCCCGGCCCATGCTCCTTCCATTCGGGCAGACTGTCTTCTGGCCACAGAAAGGCCAGGTGCCAGCAATACACCTGCTACAGCCCACATCCATGAAAAGCATGTTGTAAATAGTTTCTTTCAGAGGATTCCACGGCATTCTAACGAGTAACGTACGTGACACTGCACGTTACCGAAAAATGGTAAAGTACGTTACTCGTCAAAGATACGAAATCATAGAGTATGTTGCTAAGTTACCGAAAGAATTAACACATTACCGGTAACGGTGTTACTTGTAACATGTTATTGCTAGCACTGCTATTTGCCCACTGTCCCGATACAGCAACGAATATAGGGCGAAATCGGCTATCAATTTGTGTCATTTCATACTGGGGACCGAGCATCCGGTATACTTTGTCGCATTATTGAGTTCAGCTGTGCTTATATAGCCATGCATGCTAAGCCTTGTCTTTTAGAATTTGATAATCCAATCTTGGAAACACTGCGAAATACCGACAAATCACATTGCCCTAGAAGCTTCAGAATGCAAATATAGGGTAAACAAAAGCGTAGGCTTTGAGCTTGCGGGTCGCACGGCACACGAAGACAACGTGATAAATTGAAGGCGGAAGTACCGCAACACAGGTGCCACCATGTTGACTATTTTCCGGAACTGCCGTCTGCTCGTTTTTGCTGGCCAAATGCGTGTGTGCAGGCGACGCCGAGCAGACTTAGCGGTGTGGATGAAGCTCTAGCGCTGCTAAAAACCGTGGCACGGGGAAGGCCACTGCGGTCAATTGTGGTTTGGAGTGAACAAACCAGCTGCAGAAAATCATCGAAATGTGTCTATAGTTCCTTTTTTCTTGATAAAGTACAAAAAAAAATGTGGGGCAGCTTTGTATCTAAGCCTCAAGAAATTATGACATTGGTCAACTTTGACTGGCCCAGAGGGCTGCTACGATCTCTGTAATTGTCTTAAAATGGCACATTTATGAAATTTACCAAAATGGCTGAATTCAACAGCGTTCAATATAGCAATCCGTAGCTACGCGGTATTGCTTAAGTAGTAAATGTAGGCATAACTCGGCTTCGCATTTCTGACTTTTCTATGCTTATCCAGACACTTTTCTGGCTTTTATGTGCCTTTGTAGACTTAACCTTCTTAGCTCTTAAAATGCCTTGGCGAGCGAATGCCGTTACCTAGGAAATGCTGATAGATCCTTTCTTCATATTCTTCTTTCTTCCATCAATCTTTATCTTTCTTTATTGCTCTATATCCTCCTTTCACTGCTTCTAACCTTACCATTATTCCTCCTTTCTCTCCTGCTCAACCTTACTCGAATTCTCTTTCCCATCACTTTGCTAAGTTATAACACAGTCCTTCGATTTATACTGCACAAGGCTAAGCCATGCATTACACTCTCTTTTCCTCCTTTCCTCCCTTTCACTTCCCTCATGAAAGAGTTGAATGTCACCAGTTCTCCATAGCGAAAAGCAAGGGACATGTAAAAAAACAAAGGCGGAGATTATTGGCAGACGTTACTGTACGTGAATGCCAGTCAAAGTCGCGAGAAACAGTGATGCAGAACCATTTGAGGAAGTCAACTGATTCGGTATGCTCATTACATATAAGAGGACAGAAGGAGATTGCAACAGCATGTTATGGACATAACTAAGAAGTTAAGTAGCACAGCCAGTCAGCATACCGACATATGTAACAGCGTGCAAAACTGAAAAGGCTGATGACACAGACAGAGTAAAGTGCCATCTAAACCAATGCGACACTTTAGACACGGACAGGCAAACACACAAACACGGGTGCTGTAAAGTTCGCTTCCCTAATGAGCTGTCAAAGTCTTCCACGCATATGTTCCAGGAAAGCCTAACACTGCAAGATAGAAGACTGTCTGAGGTAGAATACCTGGAAACCCTTGTGGTCTCTGTGACTGAAGGCTTGTGAAAGAAAAGAAAACAGCCCTGCAGGGTGACAAGAATGATTTGGCAAGCTTCTACGCTTGCAAGTGAATACGTAGCTGCAACCCCATAGATTCACCAGATGTCCCATAAGCTGAAGAAGACTGGAACACGTGTAGGTTTTGACGTTTTGCTTTCAGTTCCACAACATTTCTTTGTCAGAGAACGAACCCATGCAATAACATAGAGTGCAACAATATAAGGGACAGTAACCAGGACCGTCTTAGCTTACAGTGCGGTAACTGTGGTGATAAGTCTGCATGTCGGCATACTGAGCCTCGCAAACACAAGCTCAAGAAAGTGATATCATTTACCGCCACAAAGGTCATTGCATCACAGAAATAGTAAATAATATAAATAATTGTTGGGGTTTAACGTCCCAAAACCGCCATGATTAAGAGAGATGCCACAATGGAGGACTCCGCAAATTTTGACCACCTGGAGTTCTTTATTGTGCACCCAAATCTAAGCACACAGGCCTCAAGCATTCTCGCCTTCATTGAAAATGTGGCCGAGATTCGATCCCGCGGCCTACGGGCCAGCAGCCGAGCGCCTTAGCCACTAGACCACTAAGCTGGCTAGCAAAACAGTTAAGGTGGTGAAGGAATGTGTTAGCATTTCAATGCTTGCACTGACCAAGGATGAGCTCAGGCTTAGAAAGTTGCCAATTAGCATTTTGTTATTACCCAGTGCATTTTAGGCAAAGTATTTTATCCTTGGGCACTGTTTTTTTTTTCTTACAAGCTGGGCCTTAATATGTATATATACCTAGTCTCATTAGCAGCATAAACAGGTGGAAGTCTGCACTCTCTACACTTTCTGCCGTCATTTTTTCCAATGTTGCTCATTGTTTCATATCTTGCAACGAACCAACTAGCCCTGGAAGCAAGCACACTATGAATGCTGATTAAGTCGGTTATAGCCGGATTTCGTGATCAGCATTATTTATGGTACCGTAAACAACACAGTTGTCAGCTAATCCATGTCTGCCTGATTTAGCCATTCCTCTTGCCTTTATGGGCACACAATATGCTGCTCTATGAGTAAAGATGCAAGGTAGTACACAATCCCATAAAAATGTCACTGCATACATCCAAGAAGTCAAAATGCGTTCATTGGAAAATGAGGCCGAACTAAGCATGCACATGCGTTTCAGTGGTGATGTGTACAATGTACATATCAACTTCGAAGGCACGTCAAGCACCGTGCATTTATTCAAAGGACTTGGAATGCAGGGTGCACATTTGTGTAGGCTTCCTGAGTGGACAATTAGCGCTCCGCCGCGGTGGTCTAGTGGCTAAGGTACAATGACGCTGAACCGCAGGTTGCGGGATCGAATCCTGGCTGCGGCGGCTGCATTTTTGATAGAGGCGAGAATGCTGTAGGTCCGTGTGCTCAGATTTTGATGCACGTAAAAAACCCCAGATAGTCAAAATTTCCGGAGTTCTCCACAACGGCGTCTCTCATAATCATATGGCGTTTTTGAAACGTTAAACAAACATATAAATCAACTAGTGGTCATTTGAACTTATTAAACTGTGTACTGTTTCAGAGGAGGATCAGTCATCTGGTGACGCTATTATGTTAAATGATCGTTTGATGTGCCAAGTTCCAGGACCAATGTCAAAAATTTTTTTTGCTCAAGGCAAGTACAACCAAAACACAAGCAGGGCAGACATTCTAGGTCTAATATAGAATTTTTATGTTAAGTGCAGAATAATTAGATATGTAATTACATGTTAATTAACACTAATTACTGACACTCGCTCAGAACAATGCATCCCTTGATCTTACTTCTTGGAATTAATGTCGAGTGCCCTGGAATCATGCCATGTGAATTTGACGAGTTTACAGACAGTGGATCATAATTCGTGTCTGAAGGGGGTATAAGTGGAAGAAACAATCCGTAGTTATGTACAGAACTTTATCTACAATGCCACAAACACAGCCTGTTGCAGGAAGGCAAAACAAAAGGCTGACCATTCTATGCTGCTTGATACACATCAACAGTAGTCTTTTTGCCCTTATAAGGTTTGAAACAAATGGAGTGAGTACCAATGCAGCACTTCAAAGTACTCATACACAAAATGACAGTAATATTTCCCGGTGACTTCAATGTGCCTCAAAACAGGTATGCCTTCTTTTCTGCAATGTCCAAAGCGCCAAACAAATAGACTAGAAATAACTTCAAAAGAGAAACTTGTTTAAACGAGAACATCGACTAGTGTCCACAGAAAGCTGCCTGCCCTCACATTAATTAAAACCTGCCGTCAAAACTCAGTTTGTCATAAACAATAACTTCAGTTTTGAATATTAAACCATGCTGGTTATAACACTGACCACTCAGGAGTATGATGCACGTGGCTTCAGCTAATCTAGCACATGAGGCCAGCAAAACGCAGTAAGAATTCAGACCTTTCGGTGCATGTGAATATAAGCTCAGTGTTTCATCAGACTGTGGAACACATACTAGGCCAGCTGTACACTTCTACGTGAGAGGTCAAGCTAAACCATGAAGCAAGACATTTTAGCAACACAAAAAACAATCAGCACAGAAAACTTGCCATGGTTCTTATTAGCAACCAACGAAAAGACTCAAGCTTCTATGAGATAAGGTTCATTTGTCATCGATGTAGTTCATAGCTACAACATCAGCAAGACGTAAATACAGCACTCGCACATTTTTCAACGCACACGGTGGTGGACGGCAGATGTCACCGGTGAGTCGCAGACACTCGTCTTGCGGTCGATGACACCGTAAGCGGTTGCCGCTCCAGCACACTGAGGATCCTTCGGAGCAGGCTCATCTGCTCGGCGTGCCTGAGGTCCCTGCGGCGTTCCCGCTCGTCCCGCCTTCGTTCGCGCTGCTCGTGCAGTTCGTGCAGCCGGTCGAGCAGCAGCTGCTGGTCGATCGTCGAAGCATTCTTGCGCCTCCTCGAACTTCGTCGGATCATCCGCTGCTCGTCATCACCCATGGCAGCCAGTTCTGCCAGCAGCTCTGGCTCGTCGTCCTCGGCCTCCTCCTGCTGTGACTCTTCCTTCTTGCACTGACCTTCCTCGTCTTCAATCTCTGGTTCTTCTTCCTCCTGGGTGCATTTAAGACCAGACGTCAGGGCATGTCACAAACACATAAATAAAAGGAAGACCAGCAGCCACTCCACCAGTACTCTCATCATATACTGGCAGGTTTCAACAAATGGTTATTCACGATTGTAAATATCATAAAGGACAGGAGATTAACTGCCTACTAATTGTAAGCAAACTATAAAAACAGTAATGAAGCCATGTTGCCGTGCAATTTCGATCAGATTACATGCGGATAATTGTGTAATTTAGAGGGATACTTAACTTGCACACCGCTAGCTTGGAGGTAACTGTTATGGTCATGCCACAAAGACATGACCATAATCGAAAACTTCCTTGTCACACGAAAGGCAGCTCTAAAAAATGAAAAAAAAAAATTGTCCCAGAATGTGATGTCCACAAATGACCAAGACTTTGCAAGAGGAAAAATTCGTGAACTCAGGACGTCGCAGGTACCTGTCGCTGACACTGGCTCCATTGATACCGCGTGTTCTCTCTGTGTTTGCGCATGCATGTGTATTCACTTTGGCAACTTAAACCTACATCTTGAGTTCAGCTATCTTACCTAACTCCATATTCAAAAATGTTTCATCTCTTCAAGGTTTTATCTTCCCGAGATCTGCCTTTTTTTCTTGGAAGACCCTGTGAATACCTTAAGACATACCTGAGATGATGCATGGCATTTATTCCTACTAGCAAAAGCTATGTGCTTCGTGTGATTAGTGTTGGTGTTTACTCTTGGAGCGTGCACCTTACATCTATTATTTGCATTTTTTCCCCTATGTGACATCCCTGTACAGATATGCCTTTGGACAAATGGTATTTTTATAATAAATAACACTCCAATGATGTATTTAGGAAATTCTTCAGTAAAGCTTTGCTCTATAAATGCTAGTCTAATGTGCCATCAAACAACAAGATTTTCCCCCCACTTGCCCAGAAAACACCAGTAACCAAAAGAGCTGACCATGTAGTGTTCAGACTTATGACAATTACAACAGAAAAACACATTATAAAATTACAATAGGGACACTCTTGGGAAACTGTTAGTGGAAATACCAATGTACATTAATCATAGCAACATTCATGCACAATGATAAGATACCCAATGACAGTCCTAAAGCTTACGTTCGATTGACATGACTGGTCAATATATATTCAGCTTTAGTTTCGCAACAGCAACATGCAACTTGAAAGTGAATGCTAACCCTGAAAGTATTTCTTTCAGAGTCTATAACAGTAAAAATTATTCGTTGATCCAACAAGCAATTACTCTCTCTCTCTGTTTGTATGTGTGCACGTGTGTATTACTTTAACAATTAGACCTGCAGTCCTTGAGTTGAGCAATCTTATCTTACTAGGTTGCCCTGAAGGGTAAAAATAGAGTACGTCACGGAAAGCAAAGGTGGCATCACAAACTTAAGTGGTGGTTCAATTGAAGGCCATACACTTACTGTAGCAATAGCTGCCAATTTTACTCGGCCCAGCCACATGCTTATCTCGTAGTATTATCTCGGGGACTTTCTCTCGCATACTCTATCGTTATCCTGCCAAGACTGAATGGTTACCACACTTGAGTGGTAGCTACCAAGCAATGTAGGAATATCAACCAACAACCTGGTCACATGTAAGCACTCTTCTTCTCAGTGCAGTGCTAGAATGCGAGTCAACCCAAAATAAAACTACTATATTAGAAATATGGACACAGTGCTCCACGAAAATACCTAAGTAGTCTTATGCGCCGAGGATTGGTGGAAAACACTCCCACACCTTAACATGCAGAAAGCAAATGCATCAGCTGCACTCAGTGCTACTACTGCGATGATGGCAGTGCCACGGCAGGAAAATCGCAGTATCTGCACATCACATGGTGAGGTCAATCTGCTGCATCCACAACACTGAAGCATACAGATGACTACAGGGCACTAACCATTATGTGCTCTTCCTCCTCCTCCTCCTTGTCCTCTCCTGCAGCTGCCTTCTGCAGGAGAATGCGGGCCCTGGTGAGTCCAGTGGTGCTCCCTTCTCCATTGCGCCTCTTGCGGCGCATGATAGTTTTGTACCGGTTCTCGCACTGCTCTCCCGTGCGTGGCTTGCCTGTCTCTTCAAAAATGTGCTCGGCAATGCGCTTGAACATGTCCTTCTTGCTGCGGAACTTCTTGTCCGGGCCAACTTGAGGGACATAGCGCACGTAGTGCTCCAGAAGGACCTTGCTCTCCCGGCTGTTCCACTCAATACCTGTGAAGTGTGCGCATGATGTGACACACAAGCCTTAAAGGGGCTATGACACATTCACACAACAATTTGTGGTTCTCAGTGAAAAATAAAAGTATAAGATCTATAGTGCCTGTACATATACAAAAATTCTAAGCAATGTGAGTCCACATGAGCCATAAATTGAGAACTATGGCAAAGAGCGAGCTAAGATAGCAACTGTAAGTAACAGGAATCCCACAACTGTGAATTTTACCGATCCTAACATCAATTTATTTATATAGTGAGACCCTTAGCCAAATTATAAAAGTAATCTAATCCACACAAAAGACGATGTGCCACACAAAAATAACAGGAATGCAATTCGATGTTTGTGCACTAGAGAGCCAGGGGGACAACCTGTAAAATCACCCCACTGCTCTTTCACCTGCGTCGACCGTCCACGAACAGTACCAAGAACCAAGAGTGAGAGTGCCCAGCACATCCTCGTTACCAGGTGGCACTATCGCGGGAACACAGCAATGACTATAGTTCGGCTGGTGCTCATGGTGAAGGACACGCCCAAAGGACACGCCTCAAGGTGAAAACAACTCCTCAGGGCAGGCGAGCAGCACCCCCCCCTCTCCCCCATGATGTACAACTGTGAGCAAAAGTACGTACACCTCTGCCATCTAGTGGCGAGCAGTCTGCTGTCGAAAGTGTTTCTCTGGCGAATTCTGTCAGTGTAATGCTTTTGGCAGCAATTGTGCCAAAGCAATTTCCTAGGCAGGATACGACTCCGCACGATACAGTGTAGACAGTGATTTTGGCACTCACTCCCGTGGCCCGTATAGCTTTGTCCACGGGTTTACAACAACGAAGAGAAACATTGACAGACATCACTCACCACCACTGCGGGGAATCGCTGACACGTCTGGGATCACCTGCACAGGCACTAATGTGGTTCCCTGTAAGCTTCTGGCATTCTCCACATGGATCACCATCTCCTGCTCGCCTGCAGTAATTTATTTATTTATTTTATTTTCCTCAAGGGTCCCTAACAGAAGGGACATTACATGAGGGGTGGGCATACAAGAAGAGGGGGGGGGGGGGCGGTAACAGGTACATTTGTTTGAGGACTCTGGATGAAAACATTTTTCAGTGACAAAAGGTACCACTTAAAAGGTTTCGAAACATTGCTAAGTACACAAAATATACATGCATGCCATACTAGGAAGATGACACTAGAAACCATTATACAAGAAATAGCATGGCAGGTCACAGTTCAGTTAGCTATTACAGTTCAGTAATGATTGTCAGGGAATTTTTAAAGGCTTCTGCATCCTGAATGATAACAATGGTATCCGGTAGGGCGTTCCATTCCTTAGCTGTCCGAACTGAAGAAAGATTCTGCAAATGTGGTAGTTTTGGGACGAGGGTAATGTACTTGCATAGTGTTGCAACAACGATCAGAGAAATGGGGGCGTTGGGTGACGTAAATGCTGGGTGGGGATGCGGGATAGAAATTGTGGAATAATGCGAGCCGCGCAGTTTTTCGGCGTTGACTAAGGGGAATGAATGCGGCACGTTTCTTTAAGTCTGTTACCTGGTGAACGATGAGTAATCGGAAAAGGCTGAATCCGGCAGCGCGGTTTTGGATGGCTTCTAGGTTTTGGATGAGATAATTGGTAGCAGTGCTCAGCTCAGCCAACCTATATTCATGAACCGGTTGTAAAACCAACAGAAACCTTGCCGCTCATAGGTGTAGAGTTATATCTGAGGAAGTTCTACAATAGGGGCTAGTCACATATATAAAATGTCATTGAGGGCCACATTGAATATATTGATCGGTTCTGTACCCATATTTATTTTTATTACAAAGAGTATTGCAAGGGTATTCATATCATATTATGAAGCATGTACATCGGAAACCTCTCCATACACATGCTTTCTCACATTTTCTGTTTATTAATGTGGGCAGCGCTAACTCTCGACATTGTTGTGCAAATGCGAATCGCAGTTCTCATTATCTCCAGTTAAGTACAGCACTTCTTCAAGGGGACTTAAGATTTTCCCACTCAATGCGTGCTGCTAACTCAATGCCTACGCTTTCTATGTGGGCATCACATCAAGGGCGTAGCCAGAAATTTTTTTCTAGGAGAGAGGGTGAGTTTAATCATACTTTATGTATGTTCATGCGTGCATTTGTATGTGTACGTGCATATATTGAAACAATGTTGAAGGACTCGGGGGGTGTAATAAAACCTATTTATTAAAGGGCGAACCTGTGCCCACAATTCAAAGGCTCTATGGTCGTAGAACGTTACAGCCAAACACCAAAGATGTCTGCCTTCTTTTTCCTCTTCAAGAGAAGTCCCGAGTGCGTGGCGCACATTAGCTGGGTCCAGCTGGGTGCTCGTGCCATCATCATCGTCTCTTCACAACACTAGACAGCGCGCATGTATGTCCCTGTGCGCGCGGTGATGGGCGCGTTGTTTGAATGCAGGCAAGATGTCGCGGCAATATATGCAAGCAAAATTGAAAAAAAAATCCGGAAGATGCCACGTACCTAGGCATTGACATTATGCGAAGCATGCGGAGGGAAGGTGACCGTGTTGCAATTTTTTTATTGAGCAACGTGCCGTAAAATGACGCTAAATATATGTACAAATATTGTACGCACAGACATATGTTGAAGTGTTGCAGATGTTTATATAACCAGTTGTTTGCACTAGCACAACGGTGCCGACAGGAACATACATATTAGCAACACCAGAAGCTGATATAAAGTGCTGATGCTCGCGAGGATGCTGGCCCTGGACACTGCTACATAAATCAATTTCAGTGCTTGGAAACTAACCACAATTGACGTTAACCCAACGTGAGGGCTGTATCAAAGGAGTACATATGTAATGTTTATAAAATTGGGAAGGTAGCACTGCAACCACTATTGTCATTTCACGAAGATTAGTGTCTATTTGAAAAGTATTTCCGAGACCTGGCGCAGCTCTGTGGTACAATGCTTCATTGCCGCGCAGAATGCTTGGGTTCGATTCCAGCTTGGACCCTGACATTAATTCTTTGCATTCGTCGGGTCGACGCTACCGATTTCAAGCAATTTTTAACGCTCACGCGTTAAAATTGCCCATGTGTTCTCGTCGTTCCTCAGTACATACAAAGTATCAATCACCTGTGGTACATACACGCATATCAGTGGCACATACCTGCCTGTGGGTATGTGCCACCATCAGGCGGGAAGTGTTGGACTATGTACGCGACGGAATTGTGACATTATTGATGTCCTGACCAGCACGTCATATTCATCAAACCATCTTGACCTCCCATGCTAATTTTGGTTCACACGAAGTTAAAGGGGTGACCATAAGAGCACCCAAACGTAAGCGGCTAGATAGATAGAGAGTTCACTAAGAAATGCTTTGCGTTTAAAATTTCAAGGAGTTTAAACATTTCCAATCCCCCCCCCCCCCTCTTGGCAACGACCATGCATCCTATGGGTGAGACTAACATAATTAAGCAGGTCCAATGATGATTGTAGCACCAAAGAGGACTCCTGCTTATATACAAGAATACAAATAGCAATGGCAGAGCGAGAGAAAAAAATTACATTTATAAGCACCCGTCAAGAATCACTGGGGAAGAGGCTGTGACCCCCTCTGCCTCCATTCGTCCCTCTACCTGTCAGCCAGAATTCCTTGGGACTTGGTGCGGTCAGGGCATGACCAAAAAATGGCAATGGGAAGGACCACACTGGGTACTGTGATAGAAAGGCAGCAGTTAGGAAACAGTCTTCTGCTGAAAGACATGTAGAACAAATCCAGGCCTTTGCCCTGGCAAATGCTTTAAGCAGTACCATACTAAGCTTAAGTACCCCTCGTAGCAAAGAGTGCAGAGGAACAATTATCGAATAAGGCCCCTAACATATTTTTTTGTACTACAGGATTTCTGTTGCACGACACCCAAAATTTGAACCATCTGAGTGCAATGACCAAATACCGGGTAAGGGCTTAAGACCACGAAGGGTTAATATGAACATATCACAAGAGGTAGTAACATCGAATATGTAGGTCAAACTAGTGTCTAGCAAGAAGGTTTAGAAAAGATGGTAGGTTAGCATCAGTCGCTACGTATGATAGTGGGTTGCTACTATGAATGGTTCACTTTTGCAGAAGAAAATCCGGAAGTTGAATGCAGCACATCTACACAAATTTGCACTGTTATGCATTGAGGGCTGTTATCATGAGGAACATTCTATGGTTTATGTCGCATGGTTCATTTTGAATGTTGTGGACAATTCTATAAACTAGTGCATCATAACAGCTTGTGGGTTTACCATAGGTGAGATTCTGTAATAAAATTATGCAACATTATTTTGCTGCATGTCACATAGTAAGAGGGCTCGTCCGAGAAAGAAAGTGACTATTGAGTCAGGTGAGGAAAATGGTGCTATCTTTTGCAACAAATTACAAGTGACACTTTTATTAGCAATCATGTGTTTGAAATGAACAGCCATGACCATGGAATGGCAGAGTTGACTATTTTTTCCATACAACACTCCCCTACCTTTATTCATTTCTCCAATTCTCTCTGCACACAAGGAAGTTTGCAATAAGGCATGACATTCATGCAGCAATTTTCGAAAGGGCTTTGTGGTGCTCATACGCTTCACTGGAATGTGAAGGGGGTGAATGTGCTTAGAACGAGAAAAGCAGTATTCTTAATAATGCCAATTCTCCACATATCGGTCTTGGCTTCCTTCACCTTCTTAACCGATAATTGTTTTTGGTTTGGCCCTCTGCCATATTCTAAGTATTTACCCGTCAATTTTCTGGTTCGCTTCCTCCATTTTGTATCGGCATTCATGTACAAGTAGCTGAAAACATTCCTAGCCCAATGCTCTTCTCTCATTTCTCTCAATCGCTTCTCAAATTTTATCTTGCTGCTAGCTTCCCTGCCCTAAAATGATGTCCGTCCCATATCAACTTGTACTCCCTGATTTGGTGTATTCCCGTGAGCTCCTAAAGCAAGCCTACCTATTCCACGTTGCTTAATTTCTTATCTTGCTTGAGCTCCTGATCTCATGCACAAGACCGCATTGCCGAACGTCAGACCCGGAACCATGACCCCTTTCCATACTTCTCTCACAACATCATACCTATTGTAATTGCACAATGCCCTATTTTTCATCACTGCTGCATTCCTGTTACCTTTAGTCATTACGTATATTTCGTGTTCCCTTAGGTACTCGGTCCCATTGCTTATACATACGCCCAGATATTTGTATTCATCTGTTATCTCTAGCGTGACCTCCTGTATCCTAAGCTCACTACCTTCATTATCATTAAAAATCGGGACTGCTGATTTTTCCTTGTTGAATCCGAAATCTAAACTATCTCCCTCATTACCGCAGATGTCCATCAATCTTTGCAAATCTTCCTTGTTGTCCGCCATTAGCACTATATCATCTGCGTACATCAATGCTGGTAGTGCCTGTTCAATGAGTTTTCCTTGTTTGACGAAAGAGAGGTTGAAGCCTAGTCCACTTCTCTCTAACTTGGCCTCTAATCCTTGTAGGTACATCATGAATAATAAGGGTGACAGGAGACACCCCTGCCTAAGCCCCCGTTTTACCTCTGTGGGCTTGGATACCTGTTTTTCCCACTTTATAACTACCTTGTTACTTTTATATATATCCTTTAAAAGATTAGTGACTGCCATCTTCCACGCCTAGTGTGTCCAGTATTCCCCACAAGTCCTCTTGAACCACGCTACCATATACTCCCTTGATATCAAAAAATGCTAGCCACAGGGGCCTGTGTTCTTTTTCTGCTATTTCGATGCACTTCGTCAGTGAGAACAGATTGTCTTCCAACGTCCTGTGTTTCCGAAACCCATTCTGCAGTTCTCCCAGCACCTCTCATCCTCTATCTGTGCTTGCAGTCTTTCCTTTATAATCTGCATCGCCAGCCTGTAGACCACTAATGTCACTGTTATAGGACGGTAGTTGTTTATGTCAGCTTTGTCCCCCTTTCCTTTATAAAAGATCATGCTCATCCTGCTAAGTTTCCATACATCGGGGACTTCACCATCGATTATTGTTTCGCTCTCTGCCTCTCTCTAAGTCTGTTTAGACTTCGGAGCTAATGTCTTTATCAGCATAACTGGAATGCCATCTGGGCCTGTTGATGTACTACTAGGAACCATCTTCTCGGCCCTTTCCCACTCTCCTTGTGAAAATGGAGCCATTTCAACACTTTATTCATCCTTGTCTATTGTGGTGCATAAAGCGCTTCTTTGTAGAATTTTTTCTGTCACCCTTGTTCTTATATATTCAATAGCTTCGCCCCCTTCTAGCCTAGCACCTTGAGCTGTAGTTATAAACCTCTGTTCTAGGCTTGTCTCATTTCTTAGGGAGTTTAGATGGTTCCAAAATTTCGCAGCTGCCTTTCTATTCTTTTTATGTACTTCTGCCAGCCATTGAGCCCCCTTCATTGTAATCTTTTCATTGATCAGAAGGGATGGTTCTCTTTTACAGTTTATAAAGATGTCCCATTTTCTTTCAACATCATCTCTCGGGTCACTCCCGATGCTTAGCATGTCTGTGTTCCCTAGAGGCTTCCTGACGTTTTGCTATGGCTCTCTTAACTTCCTGATCCCACCAACTCTTGGGTTTGTGTCTGCTTTTCCGGGGTGACTTGTCACGTGCCTTAGCAAGCTCTAGCTGAAACAGTCTAATTAGATTAGTGTATGTGCACACTGTTTTATTATCCTCAGTGATTACTTTCTCAATTTGTTTAGTAGCTATTTCTATTAGATTTTCTGAATTAAATTTTTCCTGTAGTTGCTCATCTTGCCTCCTTCCCACTTTCACAGCTCTTCCAAAACTTAGCTTCATACATTTGTGATCACTACCCAAACTTCTGGAGCCACATTCATCTATGTGCATTCCCCTGATCCTATCATGGGACTACCATGCCAGTACCATGGAACTACAGTACCATGGGACTACAGCGACCACAGCTACAGTACCATGGGGCTACAGCGCCGCCGCTACTGTCACCCGCTACTAGAAGGAGACATTGGAGTGAACGAGGTGGCTCTCCACTGCCCCCTTCTAGTACACTGTAACTTCTGTGTGGGGCTGGCCATAGAGTTTCCTAAAGTTAACTAGAGGGGACTCTGTCGCTGCGATCGTTCAGCGACAATGGGAATGATGGTAGTAGACACATTTGCCTAGTCTTTGTACTTGCGGGTGGCGAATCGTACTTGCGGCTTCGTTTATTGCTGTGTTTCGGTTTTGTTTCAAAGGAAACAATGAACCCTTTGAACTTTATGACCCGATTTAGAAAGGTAATTCTAAAATAATAAGGTGGGGAAGTGCAACCGCTGAGCATTTGCTGTTTTTTTTTTGTTTTGTTTCGTGAGAAAACAGCTCCAAGCCATACAAACACACACGGAGCCACAAGCAGGCCAAAAGTACGAAGATGAGACAAATGTGTGTACTACCCATCAATCCCATGCTCGCCGAAGCGCCGTGCGTTGCAGCTCTCATTGACACTAGCGCCAGAGTTCCCTCTAGTGTATATTAGGAAACTCTTATGGGGCTGGCTGCTGCGTCGTGCAGCGCAGCAGCCAGCCCCATAGAGTTTGAAGGAAGCCAAGAGTGAAGGAAGCCAAGACCGATATGCGGAGAATTGGCATTATTAAGAAACCGGCACTAGAGATCTATCGAACTTTTAAGCAGGAAATTGCCAAGGAAAGGATCTATGATAATACTCGGGGTAGTTCTCTACTGTTTGAGGCGAGGACAGGAGTATAGCGAAGCAAAACATATCGGGCCAAATACAAAGGGGTAGACAAAGTATGCAGTGCATGTGGAGAGGAACAGGAAAGTGCCGAACGCTTGATAATGTTCTGTAAAAAGCTTCACCCTATAGTTCAGGATGATGGCGCAGAGTTTTTCAAAGCACTGGTGTTAAGAGACAGGGAGGGCAAAATAGACTTGAAGCGGGTAGAATTAACTAGAAGGAGGTTATCTGATTGGTGGCTAAAGTCAAGGCATGAGTGAAAATTAAACCATTCACTGCAAAGTACCAATCCTATACTTCACTCTTTAAAAAAAAAGAGAAATCTAATTGGTGGTTCACTAGGTAGTATGGTTAGGTGGCGTTTGCTGCCGCCTGATCTAAAGGGTACAGTCACATCAATCCATTCATTCATCCATCCATCGTTTAATAAGTGCTGATCGCCTAGACCACCTTTTTCCTTCCTCCGTGGCCTAGACCATTGCGGTGGCACGTCAGTATTTTGAAGCGGCCTGCCGGTTATCTCGCCAGAAGATGGTACACTGAGCGACATAAAAAAAAATTTCCTGAGACTATGTTGCAGTGCGCCTTTCTGTCATCAAAACTTTGATAAACTGTGGAAATCAACATTCCTGACACGTGTGCCGGAGAAACCAATGCAGCCAGCTGCATTTGAGTTTTTTGTGCCTTTTTACGTCTCACCGATTAAAAGCAATAATTGCATAACACTTTATCATAGTAAATATAGCCAATTCTGCGAGAGTCGTAAAACATCCAATATTAAAGGGCCTGTGCATAGGACTGCTACCAGCAGCAAGTCAGGCTGACGGGAGGCCGATGAGGATGCGCAAATGTTAAAACAATACATGCGCGAACAAAAAAAGAAAAAGTAACACAGACTGTAATAAGGCTCAAACCACCGACCTCACCAGTTATTATTCGCCGCTTCAACCTACTACGACACAGCTGCCAACCGGTTGGGAACGATTAACAAGACGGTTTTGCATTATTGTCACGCTGGACCTAACTAACATTTTTTTTTTTTTTTAATGTTTGGGCGTAACTTTTACTGCTTCTATCAATACGTCTAGACGTACCGCTAAGCACTCCGAATATTCAAATAAAGCGCCTAACCAAAAAATGCATGACGTCACTTCCGTGCAGCGCAGCAGCCGTTTTTGTGTGGGGGTGGCATGTGCGCCGCGCAGCAGTTTCTGCCATATTTCAGCACAGTGGGTGAAGAGGGAACATTTTTTTTTTTTTGTTCAACTTTTCGAGAGAGCATTCGCTTTGCGCCTCGACTAACCAACTTCCGACAAGACCCATACCAAACGAGATTCAAAGTTGATTCGCGCGTTTACAAAGAATGTATCAAGAGCAAGCCTGCGCTAAGCGGCAACACATGTCGAGCACCAGAACACATCACTCGTGTACGCGTGGTAACGTAAACGCCTTTGATGTCAGAAACACGCACAGTGCACACGCGAGCTGTACCACGGTCACACCCGTCGCGCAACCATCAACACGCGATCATCATGGCGCTCCGAGTGCCACCCGAACCGACCCGATACACTCGCGCGAGCCTCACCTTCCATGCAGACGCTCAGCAGTTGCGGCTGTTGTTGGTCGCTCTCCTCCATGGTCGGGATGAGCAAGCTCGAGGCCCAGAGTGGGAAGACACAGTACTCTACGCACGCTTCTATGCACGAGAAAAGGCCTAGCGAACGCTTACTCCGAGCGAGTGCAAATGGGCGCTTGCAAGTAGGTGAACGTAGAACGCATGCTGCCTCGCGTGCAGTGGTCACTAGCGACCACTGGTGGCACCTGACGGCTGCTGGTGGCACCTGAGACAAAACAAACAGCTGTGGAAGTGACCACAACCGAATGAAACTGTGCCTCAGACGCCATCAACCCCATCGAGTAAACCGGCCTGAAACTACAAAAGCTCACTGGCGAGTGAAAGAGCAAGAGCGCCTGGATGAATTTTCCAATAAACTCGAGTCAACATTAACAGAACCTCTAACATACGAGGAATTCGCAGAAAAATGCCTGTCAGTAGCACAAGAAACCATTGGGAAAACTAGTGAAAAAAAAAGGACCAGAAACACACCTTGGTTTGATGGAGAACTGAAGACAGAAATTCGCATTCGCAAAGAATTATCCAGAAGGCACCGTCATACGCCCAATGAGTCGACAGAAAAAGAGGTAATTTGGAAGGAATACCTGGCCCAAAAAAGAAAAGTAAAGGAAATGGCCGCAAAAAAGATAGACCAGAAATTCCAAAAAGAAGAAGAAAACCTGCATAAGGATCGTAACCATTACAGTCAGAAGTTTTGGGCATACATAAGGACACTGGAACCAAAGGACACCCTTCAGGAAGATTCACTCATACTACTTACTGAAAATAGCATTCCTCTACATACCAAAGAAGAAATTGAACAGCACATAACTAAACATTTTAAAAATATGCAAACCAATCCAGTAGATCCACCACCCCAGATCAGCAGTAGAAAAAAGGACAAGACCAGCACACCTGAAGAAGAAAAGCTGACTGGACCAATTTCTAAACTAGAACTAAAGAGACGCATAAATGATCTAAAAAACCAGAAAGCAACAGGACTCGATGATATACCCAACGAATTCCTGAAAGCATTCAAAACAGAGGCAAAGGAAATGCTACGCGGCTGCCTCAACGACATTCTGGCAAGCAGAAAAATACCAAGAACTTGGAAAGAAAGCCGGGTAAAGCTGATTCACAAGGGAAAGGGAAAGGAAACAAGTGACATTGGGGCGTATCGCCCCATAACAATACTGAGTAGCATTCTGAAACTCTTCAATACAATCCTGAATCGCAGGCTACAAAACCACTGTGAAAAAACCTTAATCTTGTCAGAATCGCAAAATGGATTTCGCCCAAACAGACGGACAAGTGACCATATCTTTACCCTAACCCAGGCAATAGAAATGAAAAACAGAGACAAATCTCAACTATACCTGGCATACCTGGATCTACAACAAGCATATGACTCAGTGCCGCACTCACGACTGTGGGAGAAGCTAGAAAAAATTAATATTGAGGAAGACTTCATCAAATTACTAAAAGCACTATATGCAGAGTGTACGGCAGTGTATGAACTGGGCAAATATAAATCTAGACAGGTGCAACAAAATATTGGACTCAAACAAGGGTGCCCACTATCGCCAACATTATTCAATATTTACATTAACAGCCTACTAGAACAAGTAAATAGAGAAGGACCAGGGCTACGTCTTTCCACCGTAACAACTGAGCGCCAAGAAATCTACACTAAAATTTCATGCTTGGCATTTGCCGATGACATCGTATTATTGGCTGAATCCCCAGCGGACCTGCAACATCTCCTCGACATATGCTCTCGCGTAGCCCACGAAGATTGCCTCACATTCAACACTGACAAAACACAATGGATGGGCATAAACATTGATGACAAAGACATAACATTCACCATCCAAGGCAACACCATCAAGAAAACAGCAACATACAGATATTTAGGCATAACAATATCAGACCAAAAGAATTACCTTGACAAACACCAAGAATTACTCCTAAAACAATCCAACCGCCTAAAAGGTAGGGTGTGGCACCTGTCACGGCATTCCTACAACCCCTACAGGGTAGGCCGCACACTTTGGAAGACTCTTGCCGTGCCTGCAATAACCTACGCAGGTGACACATTGGCGTACTCTACCCAAACAGTGCGATGTTTGGACCGCCACCAAAATGAACTGGGGCGCTGGCTACTGGGAGGCAGCTTTGCAACAGCAAACGCAGCAGTAACAGGGGAGTTGGCCTGGTCAACTTTCGAAGCACGCGAAGCAAGGTCAAAAATACAATATGCGGGCCGGCTAAAGTTTCTACCAGAAACAAATTACAGCCAGCGCATATACCTACACCTCCGATACAGGGGCATAAAAACACAGTGGATGAAACGACTGGCTTCTCTGGAAAATAAATTCGGCCATAACACAAAACTGGAAGAAGCAAAATCGGAACGAGAATGGCGTATAATAACAAAAAACACTATAACCGAAGCCAGCACAGAGATGTGGCGCACGTCGGCGGCAAAGAAAAGGAGCCTACAGTTATACCTCGAATACAAGCAGGCTCCAGACCGTGAGCCATTTTACAGGGGCGACCGGGAAAGCGCCCTCCTGTTCCAAGCCAGGACGGGGTCACTGCCCACGCGGAAGCGGCATTGGGAACTGTTCGACACGGACCCGTCGTGCCGCCTATGCGGGGCCACGGAAGAAACCATCCAACATATCCTGATGGATTGCCCGCGACTCGGAGCGAGGGACCTACCCAAGATAAACCTGGCGGAATATCTGGGTCTCCCAGATGATCCCGTCGACACCCGAGTCGAACACACCGAGAGTGCCAAGCGACGTCTAAAACTCTGGGACAGACTGTGCTGGCAGGTGGACAAACACCCCGACAGTGTCCAGCGCAACGAAGGGCCGACAGAAAATATCTAAACGACGCCGACGCCACTGGATAGACTTGGCCGAGGGCACGTTTCCCCTGGTGGCGAAACGGGCAATTTACTACCAGACCTTTCTTTCTTCGAACAGTAAAGTGGAAAACGTGTGAGTGCGTGTTCGCGTGAAGTGCGTGTAAAACACAAAATGTTTTTTTTTTTTTTGACGGTGGCGCGGCAAGCGCCTGACTGGTGATGTGTGTGTGCGTGTGTATGGATGTGCGTTGAAGCGCACAACTTTGTCCTGTGGCGCTGCTGGCGCCTGCCCTGTGCCAAAAGGGATTAGGAGCACCTACTTACTTACTTACTTACTTACTTACTGCTCTGTGCAGGAGTCGTTTCGAGACGGTTTTCGAACGCATGAAGCGTTGCTGACCATGGAGCGACACAGCACCGGCGGGCTGGATTGTGCGCGCGTCCGACGCAGTCGATCCTCTGCGTAGTTTTCTAGTTGATCGAGCAGCGACAGCGCTCTCTTGTTTCCCGCTTGCGCGTCCGCGATAATTTTGCTGACTGAAGCATGGTGCCTGTCGTCGTGATAACAACTGTTCACCTTTCTCTGCTCGGAAAGTTGTTCCTCGAGCGTCGCACACTTCCAGCGCTCGTAAGCGGCTTGCCTTCGGAGCTTCACCACAAGCGACGACGGTCGACTCGGTCGGTCATCGCTCGCGATGTGGTGAAGTTGTGTCTGGCCGAGTTCGTCGTTGTGCGCTCTACTGGTTTCGTCAAAGCTGCGTTCTGCCTTCGCAGCTTTTCGTTTTCTCGGCTTTCGATCTTGGCGAGGCATTGAATCGATCCGTGGTGCTTGATCTTCGAACACGGTCGGCACAGCTCCTGGCAGTAATCGCTAAGAGCGGCTATCGGACGCATAATCTGTCTAAAGAAAGTGCTTTCCACAAACGAGAGTCGACGCCGACTTGTCATTACTGACGAGGTCCTTCAAGCCGATGTTTGTTCTCCATCGTGAGCGCAAGTCCTCGTCGGCTGGAAGCTCGTGAAAAGAAACGTTTCTCGATCTTCCGCTTACCGATTTACAAAAGGGGACGCAGCAATGCACCATTGGAGTGTTACAGATGTGCTAACTGTCGCACGTCAGGCGTTTACAGTTTTACGAGCCGAAAAACGTCGTTACCCATCAAATAAAAACAAGAAAACAGACTACCACCTGCTGGGACTACTGTCAGCGAGCGCGTCTTTTTTTAGCGCCTCCTAGGGGAGGCCACAATTCGCGCCAAATTTAAAGTGGGCATATTCGGCAGACTTATAAAGCAGAATGAATAGGGGCTGCGGAATGACGAAAAAAAAAAGACATGCAGAAAATTCCTTTTTAACAGCGGGGTTGCTGTAGACTTGGAGTTAGCCCGCATAGTGTACGAAAAAAGTGTGGATGTATACGCCATGCAATTGGACTAGTCACACTACTAAGCGCAGTACCTGCTAAGAAAGCGAGGGTATTAGATGGAGAGAGCGAAATAACGGGGAGCGGTGGAAACGAGGTCAGATCCTGGAGTGAGAGAGAGAATAAAGCGAGCAGCTCAAGAAGAAGGGGCTAGCCAGAATTTTTTTTTTTTTTTAGGGGTGGGGGATTCAACCTTACCTATGTATGATTGTCTGTACATTTGTATGCGTGTGTGTCTACATATGCAAGCAAAAAAAGAAATTCATTGGAGTTGGGGGGGCTTGACCCCCTTTTTGCTACGCCCATAAAGGCACTCGTTGAACAAAATTTTTTTTGTGATGTGGAGAGAAGAAGAGAAGGGAGAGGAGAAGAATTAAATAAAACTCAATATAAATTCAAAATGGCATTTGAACCTAAGTACCATAAGCGTGCATATAGGTATGGGGTGGAGTGCCCCCAATTCATTAGGAGGGGGGGCAAAGTGTGCTGCATACATTAGCTTATTAGAGATGGGCACAGAGGCGAACCTTTGCCCTCCCCCTCTTACTCAGAAGAAAAACCTTGCACACGCTTGTCCTGGGTACAAAGCCCATAACCCCAAGGCAAGTGCGATAACCAGAGGCTGGATGTTTAGGCACTAAAAATTGTGTTTTAGGCACCAGAAATAGGCAGCCAAAACACAGTGTTAGGCCCCCAAAATCATAAATATAGGTGCAATCAACTTTTACAAAAATTAGAATTTTCAAAGAGAGACGTGCTTGACCTGTGTCTACGACAGGAAAGGAAAAAAAATGATAGTTTGTGATGGCACAAAGGCACCAATAATTGAACTTCGCCATGCGAAATTGTCCTTTTTCCCGCGTGGTTTGCAGAACATGGTGTCTCATTTTACGGTCAAGCACGATGAGCTAAT